AAACCCTGTTTGTTTGTTCGAGACGGTGTTTTACAGCACAATCGACTCAAATTAAATGTGGTCATTGAAACCTGGATAACAGTCACGGAAACTGATGTACAGAAGGATGGTAAAACAGAATAATGTAAAGAAGCTAGCCGGGAATAGAAAAACAGGGGAAAGTGTTTGTCGGTGGTATATACCCTGGTCCAGGGTGTAAAAGGCGACAGTCATGGTGTATTTTGATTAAATGTGAAGCGGAAACAGATCACAAACGCTAGATTTTTTCAATTAAAACAGAGATGGGGTTACGAGTGTGGTGGTTGAGGAGGTAAAGGGTTGTATTGATATTAGAATGTATGGTATGGCCAGGGTCTGCAGTTGCCCTATTATATTTCTCTATTTGGAGAGAAACGAGATTGGGTGGAGACGAGGTGATGTGGAAAAAGCGGGGGCGATGCAAAATCCGGCCTCTGGAAATGACTAAAAATCGTTCTCATGACTACAGATTTGTTCGAAAACCAGCCCCAAACAGGATCTATATTGGCCGGCCCTTAAGTGTCTATCCCACTTGAGAATGAAATACACCCCTCCCCCCCCCTCTCTCTCTCTCTCTCTCTCTCTCTCTCTCTTTCTCTCTCTCTCTCTTTATCTCTTTCTCTCTCCCTCCCTCCCTCTCTCTCTCCCTCTCTCTCCCTCTCTTCCTCTCTTTCTCTCACACATACACATTCTCTCTCTCTCCCTCCCTCTCTCTCCCCATCTCTCTCCCTCTCTCTCTCTCTCTCTCTCTCTCTCTCTCTCTCTCTCTCTCTCTCTCTCTTTCTCTCTCTCTCTCTCTCTCCCCTCCTCTCTCTCTCTCTCTCTTTCTCCCTCTCCACTCTCCGGATGTGCTTTTAGTTTCTGATGTTCAATTCGCTGGGGATATATGGAAATTCAAACATTTTTGCTAAAACAATCGTGCCAGAGCTCTCTGTTCTCTGGAGACAATATGCTAGAGAACACACATTACACATTACATTGTGTACACACATCCTTAGACCAGCGACTATGGTGTAGCGGTTAGGCGCTTCTCTGTCGCACGCAGGAGACCCAAGTTCGATTTCTGATTGGGGAGAATTTTATCAAGGATCTCGGTCTTTTTGCTGGGATGTTGTATCCGTCTTAGCCGCGGTTGGCAGAGGCAGGCAAGGTAGATGTTCGCTCCCTAAACGATCCAGATTGTGCAGATAGGGGTGTAAAAACGCCTACAATATAAAAATACCACCTCTGAAACATTCACATCCCAACTCAGATCCGAAATTCATATTTTTGTACTAACAACTTTCAGTCGACTCCGCCACAGTTGTTGCTGTAGGAATGATGCATGGAGTACACGTACAGCTATTGGATTAGATTGCTGTGTACCATTTTTTAAATTATATCCAAACAATTTTTTTTATCGAACGCAAACTATAGCAAAATGAAACACTGATTGCTTTGGAAGAAACAACACGCACCCACACATACACACACACACATTGCATTATGTAGTAGATTAACGCAACGCATTGTATTATTGTAGTATTTTTTTCAGGTTTTGTTAGGATTTGTGCTTGTTTGTCTGTCTGTTTGTTGTTGTTGTTGTTGTTGTTGTTGTTTGTTGCTATATAAATCGGGTAAAGGTAAACATCAAACCCCCGCCCTTCACACTTTTTTTCAATTAAGTTAAAAGCCTCCTTTGCGAAGAATGTCGCTGCGATCTAAAAGTGCCCCCCCCCCCCCCCCAAGAGAGTGGAAAGTGGGAGCTCTGGTGTGGTTTGCTCCTTTATTTGCTATCAAACATCTATCGTCCTTATCTCTCCTCCTTCTTTTTTGTATATGTTACTTTCTTGTAACATACAATCAATTCTTTGGCACTTGTATGACGTTATTGTGTTGCATGCACCGTAAAACTCTTACTAAAACTAAACTAAGAGCGGGAACTCCCTTTATTCGTCGTAGGACAAGTAAGTTCCAAATGGACGGCTCAAATTAACTTTTGCCATAAACTGTGGCAATATAATGAGGTGTTGTCTGTTTTGGGAGTCAGTGCAGTGTACATTTAGACCTAGCTGTCCTGGAAAAGTATATATTAATCTTTATCATTAATTCACGCCGGAGATAAACGCATTTCAGGAAAAGTAAGAATAATAATGATAATAATAATGATAATAATGATAATAATAATAATAATAATAATAATAATAATAATAATAATAATAATAATAATAATAAAAATAATATAATATAATTATAATTATAATTGCATTTACATATTTTGCCACTCTCAACTGCATGTTATGTGCACTTAGCAACTATTATTACCCCAAGAAATCCTTGAACACTAAGAAACATTCTCAGCTTCCCGAGAAGCACGCAATACAAGCTACAGATTACACTCGCGAAAACACTAACAAACTGACAAGATGGGGGCTTTCATGGCCTAAAGGTTAAAGTGTTCGACTGTCATTGAAAGGGCCCGCGTTCGATTCCGGGTAGCGACCAAAAATGTTTCTTCTCTAAGATTACCTCCTTTCACCTCCTTTCCTGCTCTCTAACAATGGTCTGTCGTCTGCTTTTCTTTCCACTTTCTGACCCCACCCCATCACCTTCTTTGTCCCCTCCTCTGGGCTCCTGACTCTTTCTGCAGCCTTTCTACTGCTACTCCTCGGCTCCTTCTTACTGCCGTCTTTCAGCCACACCCCTGATCTTCTGGTAGGAAAGATCTACACCTAGCCTTGTCGGACAAGGGCGAAAAATCTCGGAGGTCCCGTGAGAAAGTTGTGAACGTTAAATGTCCCTTGTGGTCTAAAATCGATAAGAATGGGATGCGGCCGCCACCTGGGCAACATTCAAAATTTCCTGCCAACTAAAAATGTTTGGTGTGTCCCGCGCGCTAATAATATGAAATTATGCAGTTGCGAGGGCGGTAAAACACTTATCAAAGCACAAAAAAAATTACAAGATCTTCCGCTGGCTCCACACCCAGTGTCTACAGTTAGTCGAATTCACCGGACTGAGTTGGGGGCCTGCCAGATTTTTTTTCATGGATAGGGCAAAAGCTACTTTAGCAATACAACTGTTGAACTAGCGACCCTGAACAACAAACGCGTTTGATTTTGAAGGTCACGGTCTAATTTAGTCGAATTTAGTTGTATTATGCCATTGTGTTAGCTTTTGTCCAACCAAACCACATAGCAACAAAGCCCTTAATCATATTCTCTTATATGAACTTTCTCTTTTCAGTTACGTTCATGTGCTAAACTATCTAGTTTCACAGTCAATCGAGGTTTCAAGTCAATACAGTACAGGAGTAATATTTTGTTAGTGTGTCTGGTTTTATTCCTGAAGTTGTGGCTTTTTTTCTGTGAGAGGGCGTTTTTTGTTTTTGCGTCGGAAGGTTGGTTTGTTTTTGTTTCTTTTTGTCAAGGCTAATGTAGTATCGATCACATGGCTCTACAACAGTATGAGCGAAACTCCCTGTACTAACTGATCATTATCGTGCCGATGTGCTTTTCTTCACTCAAACGACACAACAGTCAGTCTAAAAGCATTGGATTTTATTTCATTTTTTTTTTGTCAAACGCTATCAAGGTATCATTCACTTGACGCGTATACAATATTGCTGAAAAGTCCCCTCGCAGCTATAACTAATGGACATTTTTCAAAAGCTCATTCCATTATCTGTCTCCTGGGAGCTATAACATGCTATGTCCTTGCATAAACTGGGTCTACTAATATGAGACAAAAAAACTGCAATTATAAAGCTATAACGTCCAGAATCAAATAAAAGTTCCGTAAGTGAAAAAAAAACCGCTAAATATGATTCCACTGCGTTTAGCTTTGTCGATATCTCTTTCTTTGTTGTGGTTTGTGGTTTGGCTGCCATGCCAAAATAAACTGACCTTACGACGGCCAAAATGCAATCACCCAGGGGTGGACGAGTTCTGTGTGCGTCACCGATGTGTGCCCATGGATCTTTTGTTCGCGGCAGAGTGGACAAACTGTTTGTGTGGATCGTTTTAATAACGTTTACAACTGTATTGATAGCACACACCAGAATACTGTTTGCACTGGTTTTGGTTTATTTTTTTATTACACTGGTCGTAAATGTTCCTTAATGTTTCTCTTGTGACGATGTCAGAATTTAATGAAAAGTAAAATGAAACTTAAGAAACATGCATATTTCCTTTCGTTTGGGCAATTTCATCAAATCTTTAAAATTATTTTTTTATCAACATCTGTTATGTCCATTTAAAACACATCTCTTTTACTAGTTATTGGGTGGTTTCGACCCTCCCTGCCAGGGCCAACCCGGGCTGAGAGGGAGGAGAGGGGGGAGAATGCAGAAAGGACCTACAATTTTTACAGACGTGATTTATCTATCTGATCGGGCAAAAAACGTATTAACAACAATACTACTAATAACAACAGCAACAACATCATCATCATCTACAGCAACAAGAAGAACAACAACAACAACAACAATTAATAATAATAATGATGATAATAATAATGGTACATCTCGCACGACAAGATGAGGGCTTCGAAGACAGGCTGACTCTATCCTTTCACTTTTTACCGAGAACACTAACACACACACACACTAGAATACATACAAACACAGACGTATACACAAATTATGTTTACTCTCAAGCATAGACACGCACAAATACACGCAAATGTATGCACACACCTTCATACAGATATACAGACATGCACACATACACACACAGGTGCACGCACGCACGCGCGCGCGCACACACACACACACACACACACACACACACACACACACACACACACACACATACACAGCACCGAGGCGTTTCAGGGACGTATTTTTCTCTCAGCCTATAATTGAGTATCCTTATCTCTCTGCTGAGATCCCGAACTCCTTTCATCCTGGGTTAGCCCAGAAAATCAGGGTCGAAGCACCCGTCTGCTAAATGATCTAAATTGGGCGTAAAACAATAACAGTTAAAATGTCTTTGTAAACTTACTGGCGTTGATGATGGTGCTCCAGCTGTGGCCTGGGCGGGGTGCAACTGTCAGCAGACTCAAGATGACCACCAGGAACCGGACACCTGATACAACTGTCTGGTCAACTTCTGACATCTTGGAACAGACGATTAAAACGGCGAGAAGGAAAACGGTCAGTTATCTATATTAGAGACTGTCAATAGTTCTACTTGTGCTCACAGTTGGTAGTCAGTTAGTGCCTGTATCCAGCGGATTTTTCAAATACCAGTTCAAGAACTGAGGGAGCTTGAAAAATAGTATGACAAGATACGTTGTTGAGCTGAATTGTGGAAGTCCAACGGTTCGTTTCGTTGAAATGATTGGCGATGGTTATACTGAAGCCTTCGTCTCGTATCAGTGAGAGCCTAGCTTTAACGGAATTCAGCTCAAACAACCACATCAATGTTGTATTTAAAGTCTGAATACATGAAAGTTGCCTTGGATGTTCTTTCAGCACCTCTTGCAGCTTCAACAGTTTCCTCAAAACAATGCAAGTTTCAGATTTCGGGGAACATGGAAAAGATGATGATGCGCGTTGTTGAGCAAATCTTGGAACGAAGTCAAATTGCCTTGTCTCGTAAAAAACACAATAAAACAAACAAACAAAAAGTCGTTCGTTCCTGGGTGACAATCGCGAATCGGTGCCTGTCTTCTGTAACTGTAGGCCTAATCGAAAAGGTTAAGTTTGACTCAGGTTTCCCGGAGTCTGACGTTGGTATCAAGTGTGGTTACGACTCTGCCAAACGTCTCCGTATCCATGCGTTTAAAGGTCACAAGGATAAAAAAAGCAAAAGAGGATCTGATCTGTCTCTAGCTCAGAGGCAACGAAATGATGAAAAGATGAGGTAAAAGACTCAGAATTTTGACCTTTGAGCCTTGGTTGTTCTGAATGTCCAAAGGGTTCTGAAAAGAAATAGAAATTCAATTAGAGCTGTGATAAATCGATTTTAGGTAGCCTACATGTTTTAAAAATGTATGCATAGGAAACATTCGTTTGTTTGTTTGGTTGGTTGCTTGCTTGCTTGCTTGGTTGGTTGAGTAAAGAGTAGTACATTGACACAATAATGGTCATTTAGTGCTTTGAAAAATTAAGACAGACAGACACAAACGACAGAGGGAAAGTAAAGAAGTAGGACCTACCAGTGGTGCGGTCCAACCACCCGCACAATTGGCAGCATGACATTCGCCTCAATATGATTTTGATCTTGTAATTGTCAGTGTTTAATGTCCCAAAAGACACAAAGAAGACTTTTTAAGAAGATGGCTTCCTCAGTTTTGTCTGTCAGGGCCAAACCAGACTGAGTGAGACAGAACATCCCAGCAGACAGACGGGGGTACTCGATTTTTAAAACAAAACTTCCCGACTGGGAATTCGCGTTCACGTCTTCTGCATGCAATGGCGACTGGCCTAGCTGTTACACCTCAAACTCCGGTAAACCTGCAGTGTGATTTCTGCCTCTTGCAAAATGTCACAGCACACACAGATTCGATCAAAACATTACAGAAAAAAAGCGAGAGAAACGATAAGAGCATACTACTTTAAACGTTGGTATGTTGCGAGTCACAATTGTTACGGGTGCTTGGAGGGCGCTGCTGGTAGACACTATTTCTCTTTCGTTCCTTCAGTAGTTCCCATCCCTTTGTCTTGCTTTTTTCCGCCTGCACTAAATAGACGTTATCATGTTGAAGTGCTTCTCGTTACACAAACTAAGCTACTTAGGGAAATGGAGGCCTATTTTTTTAGAACCAATATTGCTCAGTGGCAAAGTGAATGGTTGTGTTTACAACACGAACAGCGAAACAGCGAAAGTGGATAAGGATAATGATCCTACTTCACTTTGAAGTCACGTGCTATAGCCTACACATAATATTATGAGGTATGTTTTCACTTGCTCCAGTGAAGAACTCTCTATCACGTGAAAGCCTAATAGGTTTAACTCTTTCCTGTTTGTGCGTATGTGTATGTGTATGTGTGTGAGTGTGTGTGTGTGTGTGTGTGTGTGTTTGTGTGTGTGTGT